CAAAATAAACTATCAATAGACCAATTAAAAGATTACTCGAGTTGTAAATATGTGCTAAATTGGATAGTCTATGGAAAGGTATATACTATGAAATTAAGAGCTTGGGGCAAGCCCCTCGCTCTAAATTTCATAGTATATACCTTTCCATAGACTAACCTAGACAAATGATGGTACTTATGCTGAAGGTAAGTAAATATGTTAACAAGTTCAGCTGTGAAATATAAATGTTAATTCTAATGAGACAAATATCATTTAAATGTAAAATATGCATGCCAGTAATTGTGGATAATTTGAAATGATTATTTAATGTCTACAACATTGGGAACAATTATTTTTGGGTCGGAAAAGATATTATATAATACTTTTACCGATTGGAATAAATATTACATAATACTTTTTCCAATAAGAATAAATATTACATAATACTTTTTCCAATAAGAATAAATATTACATAATACTTTTTCCAATAAAAATAAATATTACATAATACTTTTTACAATCGGAATAGATATTACATGATATTGATTCCAATAGATATTACATAATGCTTTTTCCTTTTGGATTAGAAATAGTATTTATGAATATTTCCCTGTGCTTAAAAAATCAAAATAACTCCAATTTGTTTTCTTGTAAAAGCAATTTACCCGTAATTTCTGATTACTTTCATTTTAATGAATGATATGTCAAATGGTCAAAATGATAAAAGTCAAAATGTTATACCAGTCATACGATAAAATTTCCACCATAATATTTATTTCAAAGATAATTTATTATGTAATAAAACTTCCTATTGGAATTTATTTTATGTGATAAAAATTCCGAGGCATCGGTCCTTTTATTATGCTTATGGAATAAATATCACATAACATTAATTCCATTTGGAACTTTTGTTACATAATAAATTATCTTTGGAATAAATATTATGGCGGAACTTATATTCTGTGACAGTTGAAATACAGTAGTTCCGGTAAGTAGGCGTGGCTAACAGGTTAGTTGAGGTCATTGACGTATAAAGCTAACGTTTATACGTATAGCTTTATCTGTATAGTAAAATAGCTGATTGCAGTATAAATAACTTTAAGGGCACACGATACAGTTACAGGGGAAATAATGACGTCGCTAACGTAACATGTTCTTTTTCTCGACGTCAAACTGTGACATAGTGCTAAAAGATGCATTTTTCGACTCATTTTTATCATTAGCTTGAAAACGAGTTGACCCCTATTTTTTAAAATGACATTTGGCTTGACTATGTATGAAGATTATTTGTACCAATTTTTATGATCAAAACACCGATGGAATTTTTTTTAAATTAGATAAACTTAGTACTACAAAAAATGCTGTTTTTTATCTAAATTTATAAAAAGTTCCAAAGAACTGTTGCACAAATTTAGACCATACTTATGTAAATAAGATATTTCCGTTGTTTTTACAAATATCCTTTTGTGTTTATCTTTTGAAACAAAAAAGGGGTCCTGATCCCGAAATCCCGGGCTTAAAAACATGAAATCCCGAGGTCCCGAATTGAAAAGAAATTTAAATCCCGACATCCCGAAATTCGAAAAAAGAATTCCCGGATCCCGAAAGGATCAATCCCGAAATCCCGAGCTTAAAAACACCCGATCCCGGAGTCCCGATAAAGGTCTAATTTGGCATTAAAGTTAGAAAGATCATATCATAGGGAACATGTGTATTAAGTTTCAAGTTGATTTGACTTCAACTTCATCAAAAACTACCTTGACCAAAAACTGTAACCTGAAGTGGGACAGACGGACGGACGGACGAACGAACGGACACACAGACCGAAAAACATAATGCCCCTCTACTATCGTAGGTGGGGCATAAAAAATCAAAACGACAGTGAGTTTCAATAAAAATTCTTGCACGTATATCACTGAAAATAGCTTTTAAATAAAGTCGGGGAAAATCCTCACCAAATGAGACTCATCATCAAATTGTACTTACATGGGCAACACAACGTGTGTCGCATGTGGAGCAGGATATGCTTATCCTTCGGGAGCACCTGAGATCACCCCGGTTTTTATTGGGATTCGTGTTGGTCAGTCTTTGGTTCACTAAGTTGTGTTTTATTGACTGTTGTTTGTCTTTTCGTTTTTTTGTTTTTTTGTTTTTATTGCCGTGACGTTGTCTGTTTGTCTTCGACTAATGGGTTTGAATATCCCATTGGTATCTCCCGCATCTTTTTTTTTATCTCTTGATTGATATTGACAAATGGACGACTTTAAACTAGACTCAATAACAAAAGTGATGATTTCAATTTTCCAATTGTAAACTTCCCATTTATCACCAGTAACATACCCTCTGTCCCATCATATTGCACTTAATTACATATATCTCAATTACAGTGACTTGATTGTTAGTGTTGCTCCCACCTGTATTTCAGTTCATTCTGAACACTGACCCAATTGCACTTTGTTTCATCTAATCAAACTGTTCAAATGGTTAGAAATTTACCAAATTGGTGTGAGAAAAACAGTCCATTTATCATTACTGGTATTGCGAGTGAAAGCATACTAACAATTCTATTAAATGTGTCATTGAAATGTATGATGATGGAAGTTTTTAACGAACTTTACTATTTTACAGGTTTCGTATGGTCGCCCTATGGTGTTGGTTGAGCTTAAATATTTTCAGAATTTGGAAAAGGGTTGGTTAAGCTGTCATTGAGGTGGTATTCCAAGAAGAGGTAGACCATGATAAACAGTTTGTTTCGTAGCTGTTGTCACAGAGATGATTGGTATATATTGTTATTGCGATTTTAGATGTTCACCCCTTGTATCCTGCTCTTGTCTGATGTTTTGATTGGCGGAGAACGTAGATTTTCTGGTTCCGGATCCCGAGTGGGCTGGCTGTTTCCAGACTGCTTGGCGAGTCTACGCTTCTTTGCATGTTGTCTGTTTATTCCACGGGTAGAAGGAGATTTGTATTTCTTCTCGACTTCGTCCGGCGCAGGGACAGTTTTCTGCACGTCTTTAAACATAACCATATAACTACATTTATTATACAGAACCGGGTAGAACTACATCTATATCGATACAACGGATAACTGGTTGGCAAGTAAACTGAACATACTGATCAAGGCAAGAGAATGTTTTTGTTAACACATGTCTTAATCACATTGTACCAGGAGGTCGACCATTGATATTGGTGCAGATGAACTTCTTTAATTATACATGTGTATATCAATTGTTATATTCTGTGGTTAAATCATATTAAGGTTAATTACACCCCAGTTCTATTGTTATTCTTCATAGTTTCTATTTCTGAAACAAGTGTAAATTGAATAGATCTATTGTTACGAATAACAAAGGATTTTGACCACAGGGTGTGACGAGCGGGGTTTCTGGAAACCCCTGCTTCTGCATCCCACAAACAAAGTCCATTGTTATTCGTAACAATAGAAATTGATTATTTTTTAAATAGCATGAACATAAGAAATTACAAATAGTGTTCACTACAAATTGTTTCAAGATATTAAAAAAACATTTTAGGAAATTCAAATAGCGAAAAAAAAAATTAAGCATCTATTTTGAATACAAAAATAATCCTTTAAAGCTCCTAAGCTTGAAGGTATTTTTTTTTAATCCCAGTCATATGTCTCTATTCTAAAGCATTGGTCTTTAAAAAAAATGGGGATTCTAACTCCCGGACCCCCCCCCCCCCCCCGGTTACCCATTGGCCGATCTGGGGGTGGGGGTTCCGCGGTTTGGACCCGTCTTTTATTTAAAAGATCAATGCATTTAAATGGTTAGACCCCCCCCCCCCCCTTTTTTTCTCTTGAGTTGGGAACCCCCAGCTGGATCAGCTACTGTTTGCCCCCAAAAAGGGAGTTCCTAAATATTAAATCTGTATCTTTGTATGTTGAGCGTGTCTGGTAGTCGGGTCACACATATCCCTTAGTATGTCCGAATATGAATGTTTGTTAATTCTCGAGAAGATAGGGGGGGGGGGGGGGGTTATAAAATCGTAAGATATAAAATACAGTTATGATTACCTTTATTACACTCATACAGGTAAGTACTTTGGGTTATAATATTGCCTTTATCTTAAGTCTCTTCTGCCAAATCCAACGCTTGCCACAAAATGTCGTCCGTCTTATACCCGTCCATATTGACAACTGCTTACAAGGAGCATGATGTATTTTTTGTTTGTAATAAGAATACACGAAACGGTCAACCTTGACCCGCTGATCCATTTTAGCACATGGATTTAACGGGAATATGCAAAACAACTTTGACATTTGTAAAATATACTCACTTGTCAAAGTTTGAACCAAGATACCCTGAGAAAGGTTACTAGTGGGGTTTCATGTAATAAAAAAAATTCTTATAAATCATGGTTTGATATTGTCAATAAATATGCTATCGTTTTGTTTTTTTTCATTTAATAATCAATGTTAACAAATGTAGGGTTTAGAATGGGGGGTAGGTTAGTTATACACCTCGGGATACGGCGTGTCTGGATAATAAACCCCTCCGGCCTCCGGCCGACGGGGTTTCTTATCCAGACACACCTATCCCTCGGTGTATAACTATTACATATAGTCATTTTTTACTTGCTATATAATTGTCAAGTCAAAAGTGTTTATACTGTTCCTTTTAAAATGTCTTGTACATTTCTATGAGATATCATTTTGAATCAAAACATGCATGAATAAGCATTTAAAATATGTTGTTGGTCAGATTCCATGGGAGATAATCTTGTATCTATGACTTGAATTAGAGGCTGGGCTCTTAATCTTAACTCCCTTTAAATTAACTTCGTGAAACCACCAGAATGAATGACTTTAACTTTTTAATCGATGTATGTCTGTACGGTGTTTATTTAGATAGCTTTCCTATGTTGCTCGCAAAACAGAAGCATTCTTCACAGAACTGTAATCTAATTAGACTAAACGGGGGTTGTTAAGGTTTATTGTGCAGTCCAATATTTTTGGTAATTCCTGTTATATCCCCTTTAAGCATATTTTTTACACCCACCTTCAGTTTGTCTGCAGATCTTGCACAGCCAACAACTTTCATGCCATGTTTAGCTAGATTCTTGCATGTTATATATCCGATACCCATTGATGCTCCAGTTACCAAGGCAACTCTATTTCTCCATGTTTCCATAACTTTTTAGTTTCTTAAAACATTGTAAAATAAAGTGCTAAAAACTCTAAATTATAAGATATTCACGAAAACAAATAATGTGAATGTTTATAAACTGTGAGACATTAACCGTCTGGTTTTTAAGCATTCTCAGAATCCAATTGAACGTTGATCCCGTCAGTTGTTTTTATTATCAACATTTTTATTATTTTAATAAAAAAAAAAGACTGCAATCCTAAAATTATCCAAATAAAGCATCAACAAAAAGATCAGAGGAAAACCCTACTCGCCATACAGAAAAATCAATATATACACATACAATGGACCATATGTGCAAGAAATAGGATACAAAAATGTCAATATCCACTACATATGTTTCATTGTTTGTTTCCTTTTTTGATTCAGTGAATCAATATCAATCCAATAATAGTTTGCATTAAGCAAACACGGTTATGTAAGATTTTGCTGAACAATGGAAATCTGAAATTGCATGCTCTTATTCTTTCATTGGGGAGACCTGAGAGGAAATATTGAAATTCTTTTATTTTATAATTAAGTCCCCACTTTAAAAAAAAGAAAAGAAAAGAAATTCAAGTTCCCCTTTCAAACACAATAGTTTCACCCCTCCCCAACATTTCTCATAACCTATGTTTTATTGAACAAACTTTAAATGCACGCAATATCTATTTATTATTATTATTTAACAGATAATGCAAAAGTTCAAACAGGGGAGTTGTTTTGTAAAATCAGGAAACTTTTTCCGGATCTTATAGAGAAACAAAGGATATGGGGTAACCATCCGTGACACAACATCAGTAAATTCACAATAAAAAAGCAAAGGAACAGCGCTTTTATGCTGTACTTCATCATAATTCTTTTACTGTCAATACAGGATCAGACAAAGGAACTTAATTTGCTGAAAATGAAAGAGGGTCTTATGGGTAAATGTCAAAACATGTATACAAATGACCTTCATTCAATTTCAGCAACATGTTGAAACTCAGGAATTTTATAAGTAAGATTGCCATCTTAACAATTGCGCCGAGCGGATGTCTTTCATGATATTGTGGATTGTAACGTCAGGTGTGCCCCCACCTGAGTTCGACTGCAGGTCAAAAAGGAGTTAGGAAAATAATTAACATAGAGATGTTTAAAATACCACGTTTAACTCCTAGATATTATTATCGAGAACATTTGAAATATATTCTCTATCATAATGTTTTTATGAACCATGTTAAGAAACTATCCCTGTATTTGTCATTCTTTATGTCTGACAAACAAACAATCAAATGTAGGTAGTGCTCACAGAAAGAACATTAAAATGAAGATCAAAGACAATGATGATGACAACAGAGATATAGATATACTATTCGGAGTGTGACTGAATTAGTACACATTGTTCAGGGGCCAGCTGAAGCCCGACTCCGAATGCGGGATTTTCTCGCTACGTTGAAGACCTATTGGTGGCCTTCTGTTTTCTGCTACTTGATCGGGTTGTTGTCTCTGGCACATTCGCAGTTTCCAAGATTCTCTATTCTATATGACATCTGAATCAACTGATACAGACACTACTGCTGGAGAATCAGATACTGGTTTAGTATATTCATTAAACTAGATATCTTTACTGCATGTTTCAAATACAGAATTGTTCAAATTTTTCAAATATATTTGACCTCACCCCTCCCCCATCTAAGGCATAGAAAAAACTCAAGGAACCCCTTATTTCCTCACAGTCCCCTATTAGGTTTTAAATGACCGTTCTCTAAGTAACTGAATGACAATGTCATACTTTTCTCATACTGTTTATGACGTCTCTACACTAAATACGTTGTATGTGTACTGATTGGTAGATAAGTCTGGAAGAATATGACGTCTCTACACTAAATACGTTGGATGTGCACTGACTGATAGTTTAGTCTTGGGGATTATTTATTTATTAGCAATTGGTTTTGAACTAGTTTTCAGTAATTGCGACTACTCTTAGTATAAAAAAGGAGATGTGGTATGATTGCCAATAAGGCAAATATCCACCAAAGTTCAAATGAAGTGGATGTAAGCAATTGTAGGCAACCGTACGACCTTCAGAAGTGAGAAAACCCATACCATATAGTCGGCTATAAAAGACTCCGACATGAAAAATATGAAACAATTCAATTGAGAAAGCTAACGGCCTAATTTATAACAAAACGATTGAAGAAAAACAAATATGACAGACACGAACCAGTTACAACCACTGAACTACAGGCTCCTGACTTGGGACAGGCACACATAGTATGTGGCGGGGTTAAACATGTTTGAAGGCACTAACCCTCCCCATAACCTGGGACATAGCTGCACATTACAACATAAGAACAAACTATAAAAATCAGTTTTAGGGCTTAACTCATCAGATCAATACAAAGCAGAAAAACATCTAACAAAAACACAGTCGCAGGTATCTTTTGCTTTTATGTTATTTGTGTTTTGTGATTGATTCGTGTTAATTTGATGCGCCAAGCCATTTCTAACTGATTGTTACTTAAAAGTACTGAAAAATGCTATGGACAAAATAAAAAAAAACAAAGTATGTGAATTTAGTTAAGTGCTAACTACGGAGCAATCGACAAAATGCACAGAGACCTGATTTGCATATACATGTTTTACATCGATACATACAATGCTTTATATATCTAAACTTTATCCATATGTATAAAAAACAAATATCTACATTTAAGAATAATCACTGTTGAAACATTTTCATATTGAATACACGCATCCATGACAAAAAATCAGCCTCGAGCTACCATAAGAAGTTGTACGTACCTTGTAAACCTTTTGTACCATAATATATAGATTTATATGACATACGTGTGACAGATTGAAACTTAATAATAACTAACGAAATATGCATGGAGTAAAGACAGTATGAATCATCCCACATGCAACACCAGTGTTTACAAAATATACAAGTGCACCATTGATTATCAATAATTATTGATAATCAATGATACCTGGTGTCCTATAGCCATTGTTCCCCCATGCTAATTTTTCCGGGGGAAGGGGGGGGGAGAGAACTGGATCGATCCAGTTTCCCCCCCCCCCCCCCCCCCCCGGAAAAATTGGCATGATCCAACTTTTCCTCCTCAGCGTGATGGGGGAAAACCAGGATCAGGCCAATTGTTCCCCATATTAACACGAGAAGCTAATTTTCCCCTTTTAGTAACGTCGGCGACGTCAGTTGGAAATTAATTATCCTCTTTTAAATAGTTTAGCGTTACCACACAATCATCGTGAAGACATAAACATACCCGTGAACATGCTCACAGACTGGTGGCCCCAAAGACATACTAATGGACACACACAAACTGAAAGACTGGTGGATGCGAAGACAGGCTGTATGTGGACATGTTAACAGACTGGTGGACTCATAGACAGACTTGTAGACATGTCGACAGACTAGTGGACACATATCTAGACTGGTGGCTGAACATGCTGACTGATTGCTGGACATGTAGACAAACTGGCGGACACGTAGATTGACTTGCAGACACACACAGACTGGTGAACATGTAGACAAACTACTGGACATTTAGACAGACGAGTGGCCATGCAGAAATGAACTCAGATTTGTGGATATGTGGTGAAACCACCATACTATCTGACATGCGCTCGCTAAATAGACACAGACGGCTGTACAAACATAAAGTTCAATGTTTAATGTATAGGGTCACTCCCTAAAAATAAGTTGTATACCGATGTCCGTTTTTCAGAATGTTAAATATATGAATGAATGGAGACTTTCAGCCTTTCGTATATCAATGGGTGGCAATTTTATTAAACAATACAATGTACTAGTATATCAATGGGTCAAAATATCTATGAATATTAAATACATTTATTCCTGTGGTGAAAGTGTTAATCTCCAACTTTTACAGTAGCATTTTATCATTCACAGTAAATATGAATAGGAACACATTTTATGTAAGCCATACGAATAAATCGAATATTTGGACATAGTCTATATATGAATGGGGGTATTTTATCGAATGCAAACGGCACCCCTGTAACAAAATATAGGTGTCCAACCACAGGCACTTGTCTCAGAAAAAAATTTCCTATATACCTTAATATAACTTTATATAGGAAATTTTTTTCTGAGACAAGTGCCTGTGTGGCCAACCCCACTCCCGGACCCGAGACCTTTCTAGTGACACGCGTGCCGACAAAACGAACGCAATTTGTACCAAACATTTCTTCTACGCAACCCAAGCCGAAACACAGATTATTTTAGCATTCCAGAGATCAATCATTCTTTAAGAAAATATGGAAAATATATGCAATAAATGGCCGTGCAATTTTATTTTTTTTCCATTTTTGTGGGGGAAATAATGGTATGGGGGAAAAGTGGCTATATGTATAAGTATTGTCAACTTTCCGTCGGGGAAGAATTGCATACCCGGGGGGGGGGGGGGAGAGAGGGGGGGATGGCTATATAACACCGGCTCAAATGCATATAAGTCATATAAAATTAGAGAAATGTAACTAAGTATGCATATTTAAATGCCGACGTTATGGACGATGCGTCTCAATCGTTAACGACGTACGTCGACGTTTTCCACCGACAATCGAAAACGTTCTTTTTCTTCTTTTTTCCTCGTCAAAGTTGTTTGTGGTTAATATAGATACTTTTAAATGAGTAAGAGAATAAGGTACAGCTTGTGTCCCGAAAATGGTCAGAAAAAATTCATCAATCAAAAAAACATTTGCTCTTGTCAAGAAAGCATCATCATAGCCAAAAGCAAAAAGATAAAAGACAAAAAATAGTCTATGAAAACCACAGATATTAAAGATTAAGCAATATGAACCCAACAAAATTGAGAATAAATATGGATATTAATATTCAATATTCAATGAGTAAAACATGTTGGTGTTTTTAATATAATTATTCAAAATGATTTATACTTTAATGATGTATCTACCATGATCAATCTACCATAATCTATCTACTATGATCAATCTACCATGATCGATCTCGACATTGCAGGAAATTCTGCATCTTTAACAGATGAACAAGAGTCTCCAAAGATTCACTTTTTAAAGTTGTACAGGAAATTGTTATGAGTGCAGTGTTGCACATACTATTATTTACACTATAGAATTGTATAGGTGAGGAAGAAGATACATTTGTTTTCTGATACTGTCAAAGCGTGCACTTAATTTATCAACTAGGGGAAGACAGTGTTGACTGCAAATCCTTGAAAATATTAGCCATCCAGTATTAGCTTTGTAACGGTTTGAATTGAAAGTTATGTTTATTTTGAAAATTTATTTTGAGGGCGTACGTTAAAGTAGCAGGGGCAATTACACCCCAGTTCTATTGTTATATACTTCATAGTTTCTATTTCTGAAACAAGTGTAAATTGAATAGATCTATTTTTACGAATAACAATGGATTTTGACCACAGAGTGTGACGAGCGGGGTTCCTGGAAACCCCTGCTTCTATACATCCCGAAAACACTGTCCATTGTTATTCATAACAATAGAAATTGTTTTTTTTTTTAATAGCATGAACATAAGAGATTACTGTGGTGGCCGGAAGCGGCCATTTCACCTTTTCGCGTTTTCGCGTTTTCTCCTTTCACTTTGCAAACGCGAAATCGCGAAATCGAGAAATCGTGAAAGCGAGAAAGCGAAAACGCGAAATCGAGAAATCTATTTCCCGTTTTCGCCTTTTGGCCTTTGCGTTTTCGCGTTTTTGCTTTCTTGATTTCTCGATTTCTCGATTTCCTGAATTCCTGATTTCCCTATTTCTCGATTTCCCAATTTCTCGATTTCCTGATTTCTCAATTTCTCGATTTCCCAATTTCCCGATTTCTCGATTTCTCGATTTCCCGTGAAAGTGAAAGGAGAAAACGCGAAAACGCGAATAGGCGAAATGTCCGCATCCGGCCACCATAGATTATGAATAGTGTTCACTACAAGTTGTTTCAAGACATATTAAAAAAACATATTTCAGGAAATTCCAATAGCGAAAAAAATATTTAGCATCTATTTTTAATAAAAAAAAATTATTTAAATACTCCTTTGCTTGAAGCTACAATCTTAATCCCATATGGCAATGTCTTAAAGAACATATATGTAAAGAACTTTTATTTGAATTATACATTCAAAACATATAGTTTTCATTTGGACTAAGTCTTAATCATAAAATAAATATTAATGTTTGGATTGTTGAAGACTAATGATGGCACCCAGGGGCGGATCCAGCCATTTTTAAAAGGGGGTGCCAACCCAGGATAAAAGGGGGGTTGTTCCAGCCATATGTCCCCATTCAAAAGCAATGATCGTAAAAAAGGGGGGTTCCAACCCCCGGAACCCCATCCCCCCTTGGATTGCCCCAAAAAAGGGGGGTTCCTACATATGCAATCTGTATTTTTGTAGGTTAAGCGTGTCCTGTCGTCGGGTTTCTAATCCAGACACACCTAATGGCGGGCTATCCCTCAGTATGTTCGAATATGAATTTTTATAATTAATGTTGAGAAAAAGGGGGGGGGGGGGGCTTTCATGATAAAACTGTAACATGTAAAATACATTTATGATTACCTTCATTTAACTGATACATGTAAGTACTTTGGGTTATTAATATTGCGTTATCCTCAGTCTCTTCTGCCAAATCCAACGCCTGACTCATAATGTTGTCCGTCTTATACCCATCCATATTGACAACTGCATACGAGAATGCACGATACGGCCAACCTCGACCTGCTGATGATCCATATAAGCACATGGATTTAATAGGAATATGCAAAACGGCAACTTTGACATTTGTAAAATCTACTCACTTGTCAAAGTTTGAATGAAGATCGTCAGAATAAGGTTACTAGTGGCAAGGATTTGTCTATACAAATCCTTGCTAGTGGGTTTTCATTTAAAAAAAAAAAAAATTCTTATTAATCATGGTTTGATATTGTGAATAAAAATGCTATCTGTTCTTTTTCATTTAATATTCAATGTAAACAAATATAGGGTTTAGCATCGGGTGTAAGTTAGTTATACACTTCGGGATACCGCTTGTCTGGATCAAGACACACCTATCCCTCAGTGTATAACTATTACATAATAACTCATCTAATTTTAACATGTATTTGCGATTTTGCTAATAATAAGCATCCAAATTTTCAAGAAAACACGCTGACTTCATTTAGTTGCTTAATTTGAAAGCAGTATCACAGCAAAATAGAGAAATTTTTTATGTAAGCCATAAAATGGACTGTGGGACACAAAGCTCCAGTTAAATAAACAACTGTTTTCTCCTCTGTCACCAAAAATATTGAATGTTAGAGATTTGTAAAACGTTGTGACATATATGGTCAAGGATGTGGTATTAGCAGCTCACTAAGACATTATTTTGAGCCAAAAAACAGAAATGCTTTCTATAGCATTAGGAAAAAAAAGGGGGATTTCTGCTTTTTTCAAATAAGCACATGAACCCCCATTTTTTTTCTTGTAAAATTAATTGTGTACTGCTTCGAGAATTTTTTGTCATAATTGAAAGAACTAGAGGCTATAAAGAGCCTGTGTCCCTCACTTTGGTCTATTCAACAAAGGACACTCTCCAACATTGTAGACAGGAATAGAATTCATGACAAAAATCTCTGTTTTGTTGATCTTGTATTGCTGATCATTTAGTCTGTTTAGTTTCTCTCTATCTTCTTTAGTTTTTGCTCAACACAAAAGAGGGTAAAAAAAATTCCTCATTTAAGGGCAATCAATCCTATAAAGAGTGGCAGTCTACTTAAACTATATCGAAGATCTTGCCTTGCTGATCATTTTTGTGATTTAAAGTCTCTATTTATCTATTATACGGCCAAACACCAAAATAATGGTAAAAATCGTCATTAAAGAACAATAACTCCAATAAGGAGTCGTCTGACTATATCCTCCATTAGTCTTAATTGTAGATCTTGTCTTGCTGATCATTTTTGCTTATTTAAGTTTTTATCTATCTATTGTATTTTTTAAGATATAAGGCAAAAACGCAAAAAATTGGTAAAAATCGTCATCAAAGGGCAATAACTCTAATAAGGAGTCAACTGACGATTTCAACAATGTAGACTTATTTGTAGAACTTGTCTTGCTGGTCATTTTTATAATCTAAAGTTTCTCTCTATTTATTATAGTTTTCAAGATAATAGGGAAAAATGAAAAAAATGGTACAATTTGTCATTTAAGGGCAATAACTCCTGTAAGAAGTTGTCTGACACTTTTGACGTACAATAACAATTGGTAGAGCTGAACATTCTAAACATTTATGCTCTTGTCAGATTTTCTCTATTTATAAAGGTTTTTAAAATAATAGACAAAACTTGCATTTTACCCCTATGTTCTATTTTTAGCCGTGTTGGCCATCTTGGTTGGACAGGTGGGGTCATCGGACACATTTTTTAAACTAGATACCTAAATGATGATTGTGGCCAAGTTTGGTTAAATTTGGCCCAGTAGTTTCAGAGGATAAGATTTTTGTAAAAGTTAACGACGACAACAACGACGGACGCCAAGTGATGAAAAAAGCTCACTTCGCCCTTCAAACTTATACCTTATAATTCAAACAGTCAAAAATAAAACATCGAAATATCTCAAAAAGTAAGTCATGAAGGTATATTTTTCTTTGCTTTTTTCAATAGTGCATTTAAAAATTGAATTAAGACTTGGTTTTGCAATTTTATTTTATCATTGTATGCAACCAGTTGCATAGATATCAACATATTTAAAGTCATTTTGACTTAAAATAAAACTTTTAACATTGAGCATATGACTAAACAATGTTAAGAACAAACAAAATTTGTGTTCTAAAAATGCTACATATATATGATTTAAAATGAGGTTGAATACTTTTACAAGATGAAGTGTACAATTTTTTATCCAAATACTTTACAAAGCAATCATGAATATACAACTATGTTTAATGACATCTGTTTCTAAAAAACCTAATCTTTTCCGTTGTCAATGTTATTCATTGTGAAAAAAATACTTTCGTTGTTTTGTTTTTTTAAATAAAATTCCAAATATGCCTTTCCAAAAAATGTTTTTATGAGAAATAAACTCAACCAATAAAAGAAAAATCTTAATTATAAGAATGATAATATATCGTTATTCTACAATTTTGTAGTAAAAAAATCAGCAGAACCCTGTGTCTCGCCTGCGATTGCTTTAGTTTATAAATTTTCCTCATGCAGTTGTTTGGTTATGATAAAGCTTCTGTCAATTTTCATAAAATTCCATGATTGATGTCTAAAAAAACTTTACCCACAGACTGAACCTAAATGATGATGCCACCAACAACAAAGCTGCTGACGAAAATGTTGTAGGCTCGACAATAAAAAATGAAGGATGAATCTCGTATAACTTTATTAATGGGGATCAATCACCTTAAGTAAGCTAACTCTTGAAAGTCAAGATACCATTTCAACAAAGAAAAGCCTCTTAATTTACAATGGCTGAAACTTTCAGCGAAGACTCTATCATCTGTTTTGGCTATTAAATATTTCATGTGGAAAATTTGATATGTTAATCCCAACAGTAAGTTGTGGTAAAAATCTAATACAGCACTTTATATGAATTAAAGTAGTTAATGTTTCTATTATAAGTTTTGGAAAATAAGCTAAAAATAAAGGAACCAAATGTATTCTCAAACTGATTTCTCTTTCCGAATAAAAAACAACAAAATCTTTTCATTCTCCATTCACAGAAAGTTTGGCATATCTTGACTGAAAATACTCACCAAAAACGTTTATTCATTACAAAAGTAACCAAAAAAAATAACAAAAATATTATCTGTAAGTATTTTAGTTATCAAAACATATGAATATATTAACTAATAATATACATTACAACATGACAGTCCTTTAAACAGAAAAGTTTTCTTTCTCAAGTCAGTATACACACTTGAGGTAACACCTGAGATAGAAAACATTTGTATGTCATTTTAAACCTCTTATTAATATAACTACCATTATTCAAACTTTAAATTAAAGGCCACTCACAACAAATTAGTTTGAATACTCTCAGTGAAATGTATTCAAATTTACAAAATTGTGGCAATGTCAGTTATTTTTCAAAAAGGCTTAGGATATTAAAGGCACCCACACAAAGCATAATTCTGACTAGTCATTTTTCTTATTTGGCATTTACTCATCGTATTAAAATGAAGACTGCTTAATTGCACAAACAGACCTTTGATCCAACTTTTTTGATTGTCTTTGATTACCAATACCAGTAATACCTTTATAAACCAGTATTTAAAACAATACTGGTATATTATTAGTGTACAAAATTGTTAGACAAAAATTACAATTATTCAGTTACGAGTTTGTTTGAACTGGACTTAACTTTTTGTAAATGAAACTAAAACAACATTGTAATGTCTTAGGATGTTCGCTACTCCGTTTCAAAATAACAAGCTTTTTAAAAGGCTGTTATAAATTGATAGTATATAAATAACGGAGCTAAAAAAGCAGAAAAAAATGAAGGGTCTGTGACCTTGTTTTCAAGACATAAGGCCATTGTAAAATTGGCGGGAAATGATTCTCTCTAGATTTTTCATACATTTAACATTGGCACCTTTTTTCTTTCAAAAACTACGAAAAAATAACAAGGATTTTATAAGAATTTCAAATATGGCCTTTTAAACTATATGTAATAAAATTATGAAAAGAAAAGTAGGGGTTAGCTGACAAAATATTTATTAGCACTACTTGGATAAAACCAGAGGATTCTGAATATCTGACAAAAATTCAAAAACAAGATGAGCGAACATCCTTGAATTTTTTATATCATAAACTGATACTGTATATATATTATTTGGTCATTTCTTTCAGAAACTTAGGAAGAAAATCTTTTCATGATTCATTTGAAGACAAAAAGTAATAAATAATTTATAATTTTATCATCTTAAAAGTTTAAAATTAAATATAAAAATAACTTTAAAAAAAAACTTTAATAATATATTATAATGTCTTCCATGAAAAATATATGCCCTATGGAATGTAATGGGAATATAATCTCATCCCTTTTAAGAGAATTGTCTGGTTTGAGGTAAAATCTGACTATCTTTCAGACTATTGGTCCAAAATATACATATACATCCATCTTATTCAAAATATACATATACATCCATCTTATTCAAGATATACTATCGTATACTCAGAACTTTTCATCATTTATAAGACATATATAGGACATGATATTATCTCAATAAAAACACTGTTAAAAGAATTCAAACGGTTGGAGAAGTTTGTAAACATTAGATTTGGAAATACAGTATATATTTTAACTGTAGAAATACTCTTTGAACAGAAATAAGTGAGAAGATTTCTCAATAGCTTACTTATGACTTGAATGATTATAGACAACTAAAATTCATCTCTAAATACATTATTGAAAAAGTTTGAACAACCCACAATTGTAATATTGAAACTTTATCAATTATTAATGTTAAAATCATCCCAATATAAAACACATAATGATAAAATGCACTGAGTATAGAATGACAGTCCATGATGTAACCTTGTGACTTGAACTGGCCTCTTTTAAAAAAAAAATCACAAAATATTTTAGGTGTATAAGTCTTAACAATAAAATATACAAAAAAAACATATAGCACCTTATTCAAAAGTAATAACAAAAGTCCATGGTCACTTGGTGGGTAATGTCCATTTCTTATTTCAAATCCTGTATAGTTCCATTGTTTACTGGTAAAAATTTTGAGCCATGCTTGCACTGTATGTCTATGTTTATAGTCTATTTAAAAGAATAAATCAATGAACACATTCCATTTCACAGTCTCCTCAAAATTTGTCAGAGAGGAATATCACAAAATTCACTGGTTCCTCAAATAATGTCTATTTTTGTATCAATAAACAATATAACAAAAAATAATATACAAATAATAAATATTTAACAACTTAAATTCACAATTGGAAAATTGTTGGACAGGATTTTTATTAATATCACAACCATGCTTATAAAGGAAGTTAGGTTGGTAAATACTAGCTAAATGCATCTTCTGCTGGAGGTACATAAGAAAATCCTTGAAACATATTGTCTGCTTCCATCACACTAGCACTAACCATTTTACCTCCTCCTGCTGATTTTCCAACTGAAGCTGAAAAATAATAATATATTTTAAAAATTTTGTCTTAATTCATCAGAAATTGATTTTAAAGCTTTATCTAAGTGTTAAATCAAAAACCAAATTCAGCAACAAAAACAAAAATTTGAATATCATGCATGACCTGAAAATGTTCCTAGGCAATTTTTCGAGTTTAAACTCATATCTTATGCTTCCTTCAAAAAATTTGTAATCAAAAGTAACATTTTACTTGAATTCAGCTGGTTATGCCCCTTTACGTAAGCAGAAAAAGGGGGAGATAATCAAAGATATTTCACTTGTAAACATTTCCTTGCATTACACAACATTAAATTATATGCGCAACAAAGAAAATAGATATTCTTCAAAGCTGTATTGTGTGAAAACAGGTGTTTCTTCTTAACTTTTATACACTGTACATTGAATGACAATATTCTTTTACAGCAGAAACTATTCATGTGTTCACCAATTTTCTGATGCCTGGTCAATTCAATTTACATGTTATCAATAATTATTTAAAAAGATTTCAGGTATTGAAATAAATATTGATAAGAAGAAACAGCAGCAGCAGACTTTACTATAGGTGCAACCAAGTTACAACTCAGTTCTCTGAATATTTTCTAAGTAACTGATGATGAAAATTGTATATATATCAAAACTTTCATGGAATATTTAACATTAAAATGTTCCTAGTGTATAACCTACCAGGTACAGGTTCTCTGACAAATTCAGGATCAAAATGCTTCAAATCCAACTGTCCACTCTGAAAAATAAAGATAAAGTATGTATTGCATTAGAAATGCTGAAATAACAATATCATATAAATAGTATGAAGAAAAAAATGACATGATACTTCACTTTTTTCACTGTTTACCAAACACTGATGTCTATATTATTAAAAATATGAATGTCACTAATGAAAATTCCAATATATGAAATTGTAAGAGCAGATTAAAATATAATGTTACTTTATAACATTGTTTAATGTCATTGCATAAATTATTTATGATACACTAAAATGGCTATTAATTTAATATGAATATAAGAATAAGAATAAGAATAAGAATATTTATTATTCCAATCAAGGGCCCTTGATGGGCAGCATGACATGTACATAAAACAATACATCATGATTTGTAACAGAAAAACATTTTTTTATATATTGAAATGAAACATTAAAAAGTTCAGACAGATGTTATTACATGTATCTCCATTCTATAAAAATCACATACATTTAATTCCAGGCAGGACCAGAACCATAAAATCATTACAATTATCATTGTTATTACATACATTAATAATATAGTTCCCTAAATATATAAGTACAGACAAATTTTCATTAGTAAATAACCAAACAAATTTTGCCTGTTTTGAGAGATATGAAAAATTAGGACAAATACTGTTTATCTCCTTGAAAAATATCTCCCTCTCATCTTTGTATGCTGGACAACTAGTAATAAAATGTTGTTCATCTTCAACCAGATTTAGAGTACATTTCTTACAAAGCCTTTGGTCTCTTTCTATATATAAAGTTTTATACCTGTCTCTTTCTATTTTGAGATCATTGGCACTGATTCTGATTTTACATATGGCACTTTTAAACCAATTCAAATGAAGAACTTTTTACGATTTTATATTAAGGTTACATCTTTAAATGTTTTCATTATCAGATTCAAAATTTTATAAATCTTTGTTATATCAGGGGTGATAACTGAGTTAATGTAGTATTATATAGGAATGTACAGAAAAGTTACATATTTTGTTATGTAGCAAAAAAATGAATATGGCGATAACAATTTTTATTCTTAGTTCTGAAAGCATTTTATAAGTGCTATCTTTTCAATATTTAGCTTTAGTTTCTATCATTTAGTTTGCTTTTTATTCACAGAAAGGTGCTTTCCATTTATAATCCATACAAAAAAAATCTTAATGACCCGTACTTTTTATTAAGATTTTTAAAATAGCACAATATAAATTACATTTTTGCAAAGAATGGTCTCAACACCTGATATTTTAACACAAAACTCTTTTATATGATCAAAACATAAATTGCCATTTGGAAAAAAATGGTTCACAGTTGTACAATTTTGGTTGTAACACTGTTCTTTCTTACAAGATCATTAAAATCACTTACCACATTTGGATTATATGGTGGATGAATCTTTTTCTTATCAAGATCATCCCAATTTATGTCGGAGAAAAATGAATGAGTTTTGATTTCATGGAAATCTTTCTTGGCACCAAGTCTTTGTTCTTTTTCTTTTTGCAACAGCTGTTGGAAGACAATACAAAGTAAATAGTTTATCAAACACTTTAACATAAGAATTTAATCAAAAGTATAAGAATTTTCTTTCACATCTTATTTTTTATGAGGGTGAATGAAAGAGCTGTCTAATTTCTTTATGAAATATAAAACAAATTATTTCACAATACACTGAACTTTATCTTTATGTATTTTAAAATAAAATTAAAAGAAAAACTATATATATTCATAAAAATTTTTATTAATGCTTACCCCCTCTAGTATTGATCTAGCAGCTGCTGAAACATTAGTTCTAAGACGTAGAGGTTTATACAGAATGTTGTCATACATTTCAGCTGTATCACGACTGTAAAAGGGAGGTAACCCATACATCATTTCATATAACACAGCTCCTAAACACCACCAATCTACAGTTTTATCATAGGGCTGTTTTCTTAACACCTCTGGTGCAAGATACTGAAAAATTAATGTTACTTCTTTAATACATGCTATAGGATCACAAATCATCGGAAACCAAATAATTCAATGTTTGTCTAAATTAAGAATTTAACAGGTGATAACAGACATCTGGACTTATATCACACGATAGATCACATGATATAAATAATTATTCGACTGTAACATCTTGTGTCTAAAAATAAACATCTAATATCATAAATATATGTGTCATTGTTTTTTATTTGTCACAAGTTAATATATTTAATGACAACTTTACACATGAAATAAATAGTTTGTTGTTCTATTTTTTAGACATAAAAGTGATTCAATATCATGCTTCTTCATTAAGTAGTTTATTATGTGACAATAGATCATTATCAATGGGTGTAAAGATCCAAACAACTACCACAAATTCTAATGTTTACCTAAAATATATGTACTTTTATGGTTTAGATGAAATTTAATAAATGCTTTATTCGGATTGTGATGGAAAAAATATCTATCTTAAATAAATTCACTTAAATAAATCTTCCTTCTTAAAATAAGGAATACAATTCCTAATTAACTGATTGTCATTATATGAATTATATAAATGGTTAAAATACAAAGCTCATCTTTTGATTTGCATATAATCATTGCTACGTGTTATGAACAAACGAAATTCGTGTTATAATTAAAATGCCACAAAGAAAAAAATGTAAGCTATTAGTCAGTACTATACATAACATTGAACTTTGCAATTTAATTTTCATTAAAATTCATCATTATGTTTCAATCAAATATTACAGAGTGACATTCATTGTCAGTATGATTGACAGACTGTTGTTTAAAAATATTAATATATCAATCTACGTAAGGAGTAACAGTAAGTTCAATCTACGTAAGGGGTAACAGTAAGTTCAATCTACGTAAGGGGTAACAGTAAATTCAATCTACGTAAGGGGTAACAGTAAGTTCAATCTACGTAAGGGGTAACAGTAAGTTCAATCTACGTAAGGGGTAACAGTAAGTTCAATCTACGTAAGGGTAACAGTAAGTTTTGATGTACTTTTATATAGAGTTCACGTTAAGAGTTACATTTTATAGAGAAGCTTTTACAAATTATTGAACAAATATTAGTATGAATAATTGGTGTAATTTTGTATGATAAGTTATTAAGATGTGAAACACATAGGATTAGATAGCTAGTATTGGTGTTGAAGGCTGTACAGTACAGTGCCCTTTTAGCTCATATCCTCATCCTTTTGGCTCTGGTGGATATTTATCCCATTGGTAATCAAACCACATCTCTTTATTTTATATTCATTTAACTATATAAGTACTTTTCCTATTTCTACTATTAAGAAAGGAAAATAATACTGCCATCCCTGTACTCATGTATCAAGAAAATAATACTGCCATCCCTGTACTCATGTATCAAGAAAATAATACTGCCATCCCTATACTCATGTATCAAGAAAATGATTTTTAGATATATCACAACCTCGATGCAATTGCAGTCAATTCATAAAACTTCTCTTTTTCATATTAATAGATTTCCACTGATAAACTAGTTTAACCCCACTACATTTTGTGCCTGTACCTAGTCTGGCTATCTAGACCATGTGTTGTTTCTTGTTGTTGATGTTTATTTGAACAACTATTCCTCTTGGAGGAGTTGTGTGTTATTGGTAAATGTGGTCCAGTATTTTTGGTGATTCTTGGTTATCTGTTTTATGTATTATTGAGATATTTTCTTGAGAATTTCTGGCCTTTCTTAATCTTTATCAGGACATGTGGTTTATTTCTTCTAGTTTAATTACAAAACTACACATAATACTGGAGGGAATGGGGTATCCTACATGACAATCAATGGTACAATAAACTACACATAAAGCTGGAGGGAATGGGGTATCCTACATGACAATCAATGGTACAATAAAATACACATAATACTGGAGGGAATGGGGTATCCTACATGACAATCAATGGTACAATAAACTACAAATAATACTGGAGGGAATGGGGTATCCTACATGACAATCAATGGTACAATAAACGCACATAATACTGGAGGGAATGGGGTATCCTACATGACAATCAATGGTACAATAAACTACACATAATACTGGAGGGAATGGGGTATCCTACATGACAATCAATGGTACAATAAGTGCACATAATACTGGAGGGAATGGGGTATCCTACATGACAATCAATCGTACAATAAAATACACATAATACTGGAGGGAATGGGGTATCCTACATGACAATCAATGGTACAATAAACTACACATAATACTGAAGGGAATGGGGTATCCTACATGACAATCAATGGTACAATAAACTACACATAAAGCTGGAGGGAATGGGGTATCCTACATGACAATCAATGGTACAATAAACTACACATAATACTGGAGGGAATGGGGTATCCTACATGACAATCAATGGTACAATAAACGCACATAATACTGGAGGGAATGGGGTATCCTACATGACAATCAATGGTACAATAAACTACACATAATACTGGAGGGAATGGGGTATCCTACATGACAATCAATGGTACAATAAACTACACATAATACCGGAGGGAATGGGGTATCCTACATGACAATCAATGGTACAATAAACTACACATAATACTGGAGGAAATGGGGTATCATACACAACAATCAATGGTACAATAAACTGCACATAATACTGGAGGGAATGGGGTATCCTACATGACAATCAATGGTACAATAAGTGCACATAATACTGGAGGGAATTGGGTATCATACATGACAATCAATGGTACAATAAACTGCACATAATACTGGAGGGAATGGGGTATCCTACATGACAATCAATGGTACAATAAACTACACATAATACTGGAGGGAATGGGGTATCCTACATGACAATCAATGGTACAATAAACTACACATAATACTGGAGGGAATGGGGTATCATACACGACAATCAATGGTACAATAAACTACACATAATACTGGAGGGAATGGGGTATTCTACATGACAATCAATGGTACAATAAGCGCACATAATACTGGAGGGAATGGGGTATCCTACATGACAATCAATGGTACAATAAACTACAAATAATACTGGAGGGAATGGGGTATCATACATGACAATCAATGGTACAATAAACTACACATAATACTGGAGGGAATTGGGTATCATACATGACAATCAATGGTACAATAAACTGCACATAATACTGGAGGGAATGGGGTATCCTACATGACAATCAATGGTACAATAAACTACACATAATACTGGAGGGAATGGGGTATCCTACATGACAATCAATGGTACAATAAACTACACATAATACTGGAGGGAATGGGGTATCATACACGACAATCAATGGTACAATAAACTACACATAATACTGGAGGGAATGGGGTATCCTACATGACAATCAATGGTACAATAAACTACAAATAATACTGGAGGGAATGGGGTATCATACATGACAATCAATGGTACAATAAACTACACATAATACTGGAGGGAATTGGGTATCATACATGACAATCAATGGTACAATAAACTGCACATAATACTGGAGGGAATGGGGTATCCTACATGACAATCAATAGTACAATAAACTACACATAATACTGGAGGGAATGGGGTATCATACAAGACAATCAATGGTACAATATGCGTTCAAATAACTTTTAATGATAAAAAAGTCGATGCTAAAGGTAGCTCAACAATACTAAGTGAAAAATCATGATTCACTTTAAGGCAAATTAAAATCTAAAAGAAGTAATTAAGGGCCGTGTTTGACACTTGACAGCAGTGGCCATCCCTCCCCTCAATAATGACGGGACAAACAAAAATATAAGCATATTTACCTCAGGTGTTCCACAGAAAGTACTTGTTGTTCCCATGCCTTCTATTCCCTCTTTACATAAACCAAAGTCTGTCAAAGTCACATGACCCTAAAATTATATTATTATATTATAAGTATGTAGAATAATAATGAAACTTCTAGCCTTTGTTTTTGTTTAATAATATTAGTTTGAGTTTATGTTATTTTTTATATTTCACGTTAAAATGCCAGATTTTGATTGGTTAATACGAGGGAGATATTCCACTCCATCTCATGGCTTATATTCTATTACCTGTCATGGAGACGCTTGATCATTTGTGCACTTTAATAAATAGGGATGGTTATTATGTACATGACATCATAGTTTATTAATTTCAATTTAAAATTTAAGACATTAATTACAGAACATTCTGTATAATATTTTAAATAACACATAGCTGAGATGGTGATACAATAGTTTGTGACCCAACGGAAAAACATTCAGTATAATATTTTAAATAACACATAGCTGAGATGGTGATACAATAGTTTGTGACCCAACGGAAAAACATTCAGTATAATATTTTAAATAACACATAGCTGAGATGGTGATACAGTAGTTTGTGACCCAACGGAAAAACAATGTCAACCTTGACTTCCCCTTAATTGACAACTCTCAGGGTAACAATCATATCTATCACCCTCTCAGCTGTGTGACATGTATATAATGTTTTTATGTACATAAATATTCTCTTTTCTTTTATTTAATTTTAGTAAGATGAGGTCTTTTTCACTTTCAAAGTACCTACTCTATAAAAAAAAAATTGATATACACTAATGCTCAGGTCAGAATATATTAAAAAAGAACATAATAGAAAACTAAAAATAAAAATTATTAGATTTTCTGTGGTTTATGAGGTCAAGTGAAACATACTTCCTTTATTTTAGAGCATGCTATATTCATGCATTTTGAAAACAGTGTTGTCATTGGTTCATGTCTGTCTTATTTGTTTTTCGTAAATTGTTTTGTTATAAATAAGGCTGTTAGTTTTCTCATTTAAATTGTTTCATATTTCGGGGCCTTTTATAGCCGACTATACGGTATGGGTTTTTTCATTGCTAAATTCCATACGGTTGCCTATTATTGCTTAAATCCACTTCATTTGAACTTTGGTGGATAGTTGTCTCATTGGCAATCATACCACCTCTCCTAATTTTTATATTATCAGTTGCAGATGGGTGTTGCATCATATTTTGTTTTTTTTATCTAAAATATAATACAAGAAAAAATTTAGCAAACTACTCACTTTTGAATCAAGTAAAATATTTTCTGGCTTCAGATCTCTGAAAAAAGTTTAAAAAAGTAAAATTACTGCTTTCAAATTAAACATTTAACTTTTTTTTAAAGCTAAATCATATTTGAAGAAGTAATTAGTAACATACACACTAGCTGTTACGGAAAGTCCCAGAAAATTTATTCTGTGAAAATGTTCAAAATACATGTATGTCATTTATAAACGACTCTGACAAAAGGAAATGTACATCAGTGATATAAATAGTGGTCTACCATTATAACACCTTGTCATGTCATCTCCAAGAAATTATCATTTTGATTAATAAAAATCTTTTTGGTCTACATTTCAACAGCTTGCAAATTTAATTAAAAGTTTCTTCATAATGTAAATTTGTACTTGGACAGATTTAATTCTTTTCTTGTATTTCAAAATGTAACTAAACAAATTTCTGTTCACATGATTTTTACCAAAGGCAAGAGCAGTAACAATTCCACTCAGGCTAGCACTTGGACCAGTGATTGCAAACAGATTGAAGATGTGCACCACCTACTTGAAACTGATTTGGATTATTTTTCTTAGATTTCCTTTAGTGACGAAATTAGTCATTTTCCCATTGAATGCTATAAAGGGTACCTAGCTTATGTCATATTCAACTCCAACAGTTTTCTTTTAACATTCCTTAAACTGTGAACAGTGATTGTATACCTATTGAATATGTGCATCTTCTATTTGGACAGATTTGAATTATTTTGCTCAGAATTTTTGTAAATTCCTATCGTTTTGGTAAGGATGGTTGTTAAAACAGCACCATGCGATGCAGGTCCAGACACAGTATTGGTCTTGTTTAAGTTCAAGACTTGTGAACTAAGTGACATATTCCAAACGGGACAGTCAATTTTTATTTATTTGTTTATACATGTAATAAAAAGAAGACAATAGAAAGACTACTACGACTGTAACAGAAGTATTTACCTATATATGATATTTAATGAATGAAGGTAACCAATAGCACTAGCCATTTCTGCTGCATAAAATTTGGCACGTTGTTCTGGAAAATATCTTTCTCTTTGTAAATGAAAAAACAACTGGAAAAAAGAGAAACAAAATTGAAATAATAGCATACAAATCTTCTACAGTTAATGTATGCATAAACATTGAAAATTTAATATATGGTGTCAGTACACAATAATGTTCAAACATAAAGGTGAACAGAGATTGTATGAAACATAAAGGTGAACAGAGATTGTATGAAACATAAAGGTGAACAGAGATTGTATGAAACATGTAGTTTGATAGGTCAAATTATATGTGACAACTTTTTACATCTTTATGAATAATAATCTTTGCAAATGCATGCAATAACAAAAAAGACTTGCCAGTGTAGGATTTAATCAATCTAAACAGACTTAAAATATTCTAAACTGAAGTAATTTCATAACAACATTTACATATTAGACATAACTCATATATTCTTTTGGTAATATGTTGCTATTTTGGCTTTTGAAAATAGAAAATCAATCTAAATTTATCTCATAAAAACATGTTTGACATTTTTTTTTTGAAATGCATAACAAAAATAAAGTGTCTGTGGTTAGATGTATCGATTTGGTTTTTGAACCCAAACAATGTACTCATTCAAACCACAAATAACATCTCTATTACATAGTTGTGATGTATTTTGCACATTGATGAAATAATAAATTTGTAATGAAACAAAAAAGAAATATCATTTGATGGTCAAAACAAAAACAATGACGAAATAGTGTTTAATACTGTTCCATCATCATTCAACATGAAATAACAAAAAAACCTTAAAATGTCTTGTTAGCAAAACAATGATTTTTCAGTTTTGTTATTTTTCATGATATACTATTGACTAATATTAAATGAATGTCTCTAAAATATAACATCAAAGGTCAGAATGTATATTCATGAACACTGATTTCTTTTTCTTATATTCATGAACACTGATTTCTTTTTCTTATATTCATGAACACTGATTACTTTTTCTTATATTCATGAACACTGATTTCTTTTTCTTATATTCATGAACACTGATTTCTTTTTCTCATATTCATGAACACTGATATCTTTTTCTCATGTTCATGGACACTGATTTCTTTTTACATTTCTAACAAAGTCAAATTTAATTGTGGGCATTGTTTACCTTACTTTACTTTAGTTCACATCATTCAAACAGACTGTTTGTATTAACTGAACATATAACTGATGACAAAATTTCTTTGGAATCATTCAATACCAGAAACTGTCTATAAAACAGGCACAACAAATGTTTTGGAATCATTCAATAACAGAAACTGTCTATACAACATACTAAATTCTTCCATAGATATAAAGATTTAGTTTTGAAGTTTGGTTGTACCTCTAGAAAACTTATTTCAAACGGGATAGCAGATACTAATTTTTAAGGAGATGTTGTTTACTGAGCCCGGAAATTTAGAAACGATCTGGGTAAACTTATCGATCCCTTAAATAAATTTATTCTAAAAGGTTACCAATTCAACACTGTAATTAGATCTTTGAATATTGTGTTTATTAGTATTAATATTGATTTGGTTATCAGTAAATTAAAATCAAACTAAATATTATTTTTATATACATATGCACATTCATGGCTTTACAGTCTGTCGATACCTGTATCTTGGCATTGCACAAGGTCATGTTTTTCTCTGACTGTTAATGACGTCTTTACACTAAATCCATTTGATGTTGGATGTGAACTGATTGATATTTTAGTCTTAGATGCATGCTTTTTTTTATTAGTTGTTATTGGCTTTGAACTAGCTGTCAGTAACTGCAAGTACTCTCAGATCTGTACTTAAGTGTCTTTTTGTTGTGGGGATGTATAAGTACCCAACTCAAACTAGTTTAACCCTGCCACATTCTGTATGTGCTTGTCCCAAGTCAGGAGCCTGTAATTCAGTGGATGTCGTTTGTTGCTGTGTAACATATTTGTTTTCGTTCATTATTTTGTACATAATTTAGGCCGCTAGTTTTCTCGTTTGAATTGTTTTACATTTGTCATTTCGGGGCCTTTTATAGCTTACTATGCTGTATGGGTTTTGCTCATTGTAGAAGGCCATATGGTGACCTATAGTTATTAATTTCTGTGTCATTGGCAATCATACCACATCTTCTTATTTTTATCCAATAAATTCTCTCTTGATATGTTTATCATGTTTAAAGGTAGTGAATTTATGAAGTTAAAATCTAAAAATAGCTTGACAAGGTTATCTGTCCAAGAACACTTAGAATTCATACCAAAATAACCAAGGTCAAGGTTCAAGTCCACAAGATATCTGTTTTGTTACATAACTGAAACTTATGAAACCTTTTATAAATAATTATCTGACACAAAAAAAACAACACATGTCTTTCTATTCTAGTAATTCTGTATCAACTTTATTGAATTCATTGCCATTATCTATAACAGCTGTGAAGCAAGTACTGTTAGATAAGAAGCCTTATATGACTGAGGCATTTACACATAAATTATCAGGAACATTCCCCTACAAGGATTGCACAGTTTTTCTCTAAATTTCTTCAGTATAAAATTTAATATACAAAATGCTGAAATCTATGGCAGGTTCCCTACATAATTCAATCCCATTTAAATCTATTTCAGCATTTAAAGTGCTATGGTTTTTCTATCATATTAGGCAAGTGTTACCACATAGAGAAGGAAGTCTTTATTATTACGATCAAAGATACTTTTTGGTAATCAGATATAAAAATTACAGGAATGCATGACAATATGACTATCAAATTGACCATGGTAACGTACACAAACAACTGTTACAATGGCAATAACATGTGTATAAAACAGGTAGAACAAACTTTTTGGAATCATTTTAGTATATATGATGAGTCTTTTATAGAAGAAACACATGTCTGCAATACAAAATTATAAGCCTGGTATCTTTGATGAATTTTTTTACAAATTAATCGTTTTGCTTACCTCTCCACCATTTACATAATCTAAGACAAAGTAGAGTTTATCTTGTGTCTGGAAGGAGTAATGAAGACCGACCAGAAATGGATGTTTGATGTTTTTCAGCAAAACATTCCTCTCAGACATGATATGTTTGACTTCATTTCTCTTCATTATTGCCTGCTTCTGTAGGACTTTAATAGCAAACATTTTACTCTCATTTTTATGTCTGGCTAAAAGCACCTATAAATTATTACAAGTAAAAATTTAATACATGTAACATAATTCATGCAAATGTCGTGAAATTCATGTATGATAATATTTGTAATATAAAATTTTGTAGCTTCCTGCCTGTTTGAATTATATTATTTATGAACAATCAGTTGACATCTTGAATTAACTGCTGTTTCACGTGCACACAAAATATCTTAATAATAATGTATTTCTTGTGAATGTGAGTTTTTTAAACCAATGTTTACCCTTTCCCCCACCCTTCTCATTCCCATACAAACCCCAGTAGAAAATTATGTGATAAATCTGTACTTCTGTAGGTCTGATTCATTCACATAACTGAAAGCTTGACTTTGTATAATTGAAATATGTAACTATGTATCATGTTGTAACAAGAAAAAGCTTTCTGTTATGTAAAAATAGATATACACAGGTACATTGTTTACAGAAAAGGATTTCATAATATTTAATTCCAACACCCATGGGTGTATAGATTTAAATCAAGCAATTATGAGTCAACATCTATACATGTTAAAAGAAAGCCCTAGGACAGTACTAGTTAACTCACCTTGCCAAAGCTGCCCTTGCCAATAACCTTCAGAAATTCAAAGTCACTTGGTTTAACACTGAAACAAACAGGATGTAAATAGTAAAACATAGATAAAAATAAATATGTATAAAACAATGCAGTTCAAAGCATACTAAATGTGGGGGTGGCATCAAATTGTTTTGGTGGTACATACTTAACCAAGTAGGAGAAAAATAAGTACTTTAACAGCTAAGTCAGACAAAAAGAGGCACAATTTAAAATCTTACAAAAAAGAGATTTTAAATATTTGCTGTCATAAAATATTTTCAATCAAATGCAAGTTGATTAAAATAACTCCAAATTCATGAATATTCCAGTACTTTCTATTCTAAAGACTGATGCACCCTTTTCCCATAGGTAAATGTATCAAAATAACACAACTTAGAATATAAATAAAGAGAAATGGGGGGTAAATATCAGTTGGTTGTCTTATTTCCTATCTTAATGGGGTATTTTTTTTATTTCACAAAATTTGATGTAGACTGTCAATCTTTGGTAGTTTTTGATTAACTTATAGCAACTTGTTTAGAATCAGGATGGTTAAGAGACATACTGTCATGACTGTATAGACAGTGTTAAAGATTGTATGCTGACCTATAAATGTCTTGTTGGTTGTTGTGTTGTTGTGTTACTGTCACATTAATATAAACCCATATGTCCTATAAACCATATAAATTAATCAATAACCCATCTAACCAAGCTTTTGAAAAAATATATCTACAGTGCACCATTAAAAAAACATCTACCGAGTACCACATTTATTCAAATTGATATGAAATTTTCCAAATAGATCATTTTTAATCAATTTGTTAACATCAATACTGCAATAATCATTTTAAAGTTTTTACCATATTTATTATTTCAAACATAAAATATATTAAGTTATGACCTCATAAAGAAAGGTAACATGTCAAACATACAGATTATTAAATTTACTGTATGCTTTTCTAAATTAAACATAAATATCCAGATGACATTTTTACCATATGTATGACCTACAACAGTAAAATGATCACTAATGAAACCTTGTAAAACTAATTTGTACCTTGTCTTTTCACTTGGACCAAGATTTACTGGGTTATTGTCTTTGCCATTCTAGAAGAAAAAAAATGTTTGCAATTGTTATATTCTTTCATGTGAATAAAACACTAAATAAACATCTGCCATTCTACCATAAATTATACAATATATACAATGAATTTATTTTTCTTATTTTTTTCTCGTGCAGATATCAATTAATATTAAATACATTATGATTGGTAACCATTTCAAATCAGATATCATATTTACAGACATTTACATTTTTTACATATATACTATTCAAAGGACACATTTTACACATTTTCACTGGTAAAAAATACTTCAATGAAACCGTTACATTCAAGATTTCAGGATAAAAATTTTAACCTGAATTTCCCACAACACTTTGTCTCCCACTGTTGATAAATAATAGGGGGCCTTGGTGGCCGAGTGAAAAGGTAGTTGAACTACTGTATCACTAGCCAGTCAACACTGAGGTTGTGAGTTCGAATCCTGCACAGGGCAGGTACACTCGACTCCAATCTTAATTGACTAGGATGTTCAGTTTTCCTACCAAAGGTCAGTGGTTATCCAGGCACTACGGCTTCCTCCACCAATAAAAACTGACCGCCACCAAATAGCACAATAGTGTTGAAAGTGATGTTAGACACCAATCTATCAATCAATGTTAAATAATAGTCTAAGGCATAAGTGTATACAAAAATGTTTACCATAGCTTCTGAGTCCTCAAAGGTGTCTGTATCTACTGGTTCCGAAGCATTTCGAGGATTATCTAGTGACAAGAAGGAGCGCACTTCTGGACTGAAAAGATAAAAACATTCGTAATTAACAGATTGCTAGCACGATCCATATGAATTCCTAACTATAACATCACAACACTGGTTAAAACCTGATTTAATGAATGAAAAGATATTCTTAACACAATTCTGTTATTTGTTGTTAAACATCAGGTGGATTTATGTCTTAACTTATACCTTGTTCATTGCTTTTGAAGTACACAGTTCTTTTTTTTAGGGACTATACATTAGACAGTGCACCTGCCCATATTATATATACAGTAGCCTAATATTAAGTAATGTTCAATTTATAGATTTTGTAAATCCATCAAAATTACAATCACTACAAGTTTATAGTTCACATTTTTCCAGAATCTTGGTAATTAAAAAATAACTTTAATCTGTTCCTTGTGCAAACATTAAATCAAAAGTAACCAGAAGCTCTGCATACTACAGTGTGTAATGAAACTACTAGGGTCAAAAAAATAGAGACAACCCTGTCACCTGAATATAACAATGGTCAGTAAAGCCTCTGGAAAAGGTCCATTACACAGGACAAAAATGAAAACAATCAATACAGGAGCACTCCTTTCAAATATTTTTCATTGTGTTATCAAAAGGAATAACTAAAATAATCTACTGATTTAATCAAAAGGTAAATGAATAATGTACAACATAAAATTCATTTCATTAACTTAAACATAATTAATCTTTTGTATTATATTAAGGTTGCTAAATATGTATCCATCAGAAAAATATGTCATTTGAGAATAAAACATGTGTCAATACCTCAGAGTCTCCAATACAACACTCAAAGATTTATAAAACATACAAACATTATTTAAAATCATTCAATGGCTGTTATAGTATTGATAAACAATGACAAAAATCTATCTTAAAAAGAGCAGCTAGACAAAATCAAGGTTCTTCTTTATTATCTAAAGCTTTCCTGATTAGAAAAAATAGATCGAAACAAAGAATGAAGACCCGGTACTCTATATTATTCAGTTCTCTTCTGATACCAAAGTACGTATTCAATAACCATACTTATGACATAACTCGAATATAAAATGATGAAAAGTAATCCTAATATGCTAAATAAAATGGTTAATAAACAGCCTTATCAAAATATATAATTTATGGCAAATTTTCGTATCGAAACTTCAAACTTTTAAAAGAAACTTTAACATACCTTTCATAAGTCTAATACATTAAAATATAGTCTACATTAATGTTATTTTAGTTCAATTATCTTAAAGAATGTCCATTCATTTCCAGGAACAAAACACTTATCATACTTATAAAGTACTTCACTTAAAATTTTCCAGATATGTAAAAAATATTGATTTAGTTGTCGTAAATGCAACATATTGTTAATTCTAATGACCTATACTGAAAAATCCACCAACACAAAAATAGTTTAATTCAAACAACTTTCAATTGTCTTCCCTAAAAAGAAAGAAAGATTTACTGAATATCTTTTTTTTTTTAAATCAATAACTTTATGTTCAACATTTAGATAATTTTCTTATAAAATCAAGGATTTAATATTTGTATATGGTGAAGTGTATGCAACAAAATTGGTTAAAATAATTGAGAAAAAAACTTTGTGAAATTCAAATTAATGCCTATAAAACAGCAAATTAGTTAACAGAATAAATTACAAGCTAATTTAATGTAAATATGGATTTCTTATTTTATGTTTGTTTTGCTATCATATCATACATAAAAGGTTTAGAAATTGGGTTCCCCCAGATTTCAGGAGGAAAGATCTTGTGTAACATTTAGGGATTTTGTGTCAACAGTTAATACACCATATCCTTTCTTCTCCACTTCTTTAGTATCTAATGGGATACTCTGCTATAAATGAGTTTTTTTTTAATTTCTTTATTTCCATCATCTCCTAGGATCTGTCTAAAGTAATACCCTTATATATGAGTTTCTTTGCTTATTTACCAGTTTTTCAAAGGAAAGGTGTCATGTAATTATAGATTATTGTTGGTCATCTTAACAAGATTGATTTTCTCGCTTGATACGGTACGGCAAAAGTGAGAAAAGCAATCGAGTTGAGATGACCAATGATAATCTGTTTATTGCTATTTTGCCTATGACGACTTTGATGTTCACATTGACAACTGCACGTGCGCCCTTAGTTTCTTGCGATAATTTTTCATATCACTCTACTGTGCTGAGAAAGGAAATTTATCAGTCGGTAAGATCAAAGGAAAATTTTGTAAAATAGCGATAACGTCTGATCCAGTTTCTTTATTTTCGAATATTTCATTGGAAAGATCTCATGTAATTTATGATTTCTGTTATTTGTTCATTTCCAAGTATTTCATGGAAAGTTCACATGTTATGTGTAATAAAGGGGAATATGAATTCTGTTATTTGTTTATTTCCAAGTATTTCATGGAAAGTTCACATGTTATGTGTAATAAGGGGGAGTATGATTTCTGTTATTTGTTCATTTCCAAGTATTTCATGGAAAGTTCACATGTCATGTGTAATAAGGGGGAGTATGATTTCTGTTATTTGTTCATTTCCAAGTATTTCGTGGAAAGTTCACATGTTATGTGTCATAAGGGGGAGTATGATTTCTGTTATTTGTTCATTTCCAAGTATTTCGTGGAAAGTTCACATATTATGTGTAATAAGGGGGGGTTATGATTTCTGTTATTTGTTCATTTCCAAGTATTTCGTGGAAAGTTCACATGTTATGTGTAATAAGGGATAGTATGATTTCTGTTATTTGTTCATTTCCAAGTATTTCGTGGAAAGTTCACATGTTATGTGTAATAAGGGGGAGTATGATTTCTGTTATTTGTTCATTTCCAAGTATTTCGTGGAAAGTTCACATGTTATGTGTAATAAGGGGGAGTATGATTTCTGTTATTTGTTCATTTCCAAGTATTTCGTGGAAAGTTCACATGTTATGCGTAATAAGGGGGAGTATGATTTCTGTTATTTGTTCATTTCCAAGTATTTCGTGGAAAGTTCACATGTTATGTGTAATAAGGGGGAGTATGATTTCTGTTATTTGTTCATTTCCAAGTATTTCATGGAAAGTTCACATGTTATGTGTAATAAGGGGGAGTATGATTTCTGTATTTCCAAGTATTTCATGGAAAGTTCACATGTTATGTGTAATAAGGGGGAGTATGATTTCTGTATTTCCAAGTATTTCGTGGAAAGTTCACATGTTATGTGTAATAAGGGGGAGTATGATTTCTGTTATTTGCTCATTTCCAAGTATTTCATGGAAAGTTCACATGTTATGTGTAATAAGGGGGAGTATGATTTCTGTTATTTGTTCATTTCCAAGTATTTCATGGAAAGTTCACATGTTATGTGTAATAAGGGGGAGTATGATTTCTGTATTTCCAAGTATTTCATGGAAAGTTCACATGTTATGTGTAATAAGGGGGAGTATGATTTCTGTTATTTGCTCATTTCCAAGTATTTCATGGAAAGTTCACATGTTATGTGTAATAAGGGGGAGTATGATTTCTGTTATTTGTTCATTTCCAAGTATTTCGTGGAAAGTTCACATGTTATGTGTAATAAGGGGGAGTATGATTTCTGTTATTTGTTCATTTCCAAGTATTTCCTGGAAAGTTCACATGTTATGTGTAATAAGGGGGAGTATGATTTCTGTTATTTGTTCATTTCCAAGTATTTCGTGGAAAGTTCACATGTTATGTGTAATAAGGGGAGTATGATTTCTGTTATTTGTTCATTTCCATTTTCGTGGAAAGTTCACATGTTATGTGTAATAAGGGGGAGTATGATTTCTGTTATTTGTTCATTTCCAAGTATTTCGTGGAAAGTTCACATGTTATGTGTCATAAGGGGGAGTATGATTTCTGTTATTTGTTCATTTCCAAGTATTTCGTGGAAAGTTCACATATTATGTGTAATAAGGGGGGTATGATTTCTGTTATTTGTTCATTTCCAAGTATTTCGTGGAAAGTTCACATGTTATGTGTAATAAGGGATAGTATGATTTCTGTTATTTGTTCATTTCCAAGTATTTCGTGGAAAGTTCACATGTTATGTGTAATAAGGGGGAGTATGATTTCTGTTATTTGTTCATTTCCAAGTATTTCGTGGAAAGTTCACATGTTATGTGTAATAAGGGGGAGTATGATTTCTGTTATTTGTTCATTTCCAAGTATTTCATGGAAAGTTCACATGTTATGTGTAATAAGGGGGAGTATGATTTCTGTATTTCCAAGTATTTCATGGAAAGTTCACATGTTATGTGTAATAAGGGGGAGTATGATTTCTGTTATTTGCTCATTTCCAAGTATTTCATGGAAAGTTCACATGTTATGTGTAATAAGGGGGAGTATGATTTCTGTTATTTGTTCATTTCCAAGTATTTCATGGAAAGTTCACATGTTATGTGTAATAAGGGGGAGTATGATTTCTGTATTTCCAAGTATTTCATGGAAAGTTCACATGTTATGTGTAATAAGGGGGAGTATGATTTCTGTTATTTGCTCATTTCCAAGTATTTCATGGAAAGTTCACATGTTATGTGTAATAAGGGGGAGTATGATTTCTGTTATTTGTTCATTTCCAAGTATTTCGTGGAAAGTTCACATGTTATGTGTAATAAGGGGGAGTATGATTTCTGTTATTTGTTCATTTCCAAGTATTTCGTGGAAAGTTCACATGTTATGTGTAATAAGGGGGAGTATGATTTCTGTATTTCCAAGTATTTCATGGAAAGTTCACATGTTATGTGTAATAAGGGGGAGTATGATTTCTGTTATTTGCTCATTTCCAAGTATTTCATGGAAAGTTCACATGTTATGTGTAATAAGGGGGAGTATGATTTCTGTTATTTGTTCATTTCCAAGTATTTCATGGAAAGTTCACATGTTATGTGTAATAAGGGGGAGTATGATTTCTGTATTTCCAAGTATTTCATGGAAAGTTCACATGTTATGTGTAATAAGGGGGAGTATGATTTCTGTTATTTGCTCATTTCCAAGTATTTCATGGAAAGTTCACATG